AGTCACCACCCATCCATGACCAAATTACATTTTTTGGCATTTAACGACAACTAAACTGGAATTCCGCTAATCGTGCCTGTATTTTTGCCTTCCATGGACCAAGCCTGACGCCGTGGGATGATGTCGGAACCGGATCACCTAATATTTGTCCCAGACATCAAATACGACCTAAGGAACTATAGTCACCGCCGCTCCATGACCAAATTATATTTTTTGGCATTTTACGGTAATTAAACTAGTATTCCGCCCGTCGTGCATGTATTTTCGCCTGCCATGGCCCAAGCCCGACGCTGTAAGACGGAGCCGGAACTGGATCGCCTAATATTAGTCCGGAATACCAAGTAGGACCTAAGGAACCATAGTCACCGCCCCGCCATGACCAAATTACATTTTGGGGCATTTTACAGCAATTAAACTGGAATTTCGCTCGTCGTGCTTGTATTTTCACCTGCCATGGCCAAAGCACGATGCCGTGGGACGGAGCCGGAACCGGATTGCGTAATATTTATCCTGGACATCAAATACGACCTAAGGTACCATAGTGGGAAGTTGCAGTGTCATCCTTATCCCCATGAGTATGTGGACCCCTCCAAACATTGTGCCCATCGCGCTTTCTTCATGGGTCTGCAGAGGAGGTCAGGCGAGTTGGTTCAAGAAGGCCAGCAGTTTGATATTCGTGGGACAGTTGATGAGTTTAGACACCAAATAACATGTATATGTATTGGAAACCGGGAATGGAAATGTTGGTCTCCATGTTCGTAGAAAGCAGATTCCCTCTTATGTTTTACCAGATGGCTATAAGCGAAGCCAAATAGCAAGGGTAATGAGTGGTCAGCTGGCAGAGAAACCATCCTGCAACGGTAGTATATGCAGGTCAAGATCTGGAGAAAGAGGGTTGAAAAGGAAAAAAGAGCTTGAAGGTTCAGAAGAGAAGCAACAGAGTCAGGACAAAAGACCATCGGTTAGCCCTCCAAGAAGGGATTCACTCTCACCTGAACTTATTGTTGGTCAGAAAGGTGGCATGTTCTTACAACAGTGTTCCTCGACAGTTTCTGGAGGGAAGAGAAAGAGTGATGAAATTTCAAATAATTTCCCCAGTGATAAGATGCAGTTTGCTATTCTGGACAAAGATGCCTGCGCTGAACCAATTAAGTCACAAGGAGCACAATGTGCTCAAAGCGCTGATGGATGTGTCCACCGTTCTAGTGGTGTCACAAACCTGGTTGAGGCTGGTACATGTGAGGATCCTGCGCATGAATTGCTCCAACTCAGCCATGACGGTCATCCAGTGGGCAGTACTGGTTGCATCTCTCTCTATTCCTCTCGGGGCGACTTATACAGGGCCGAGTCCAAGTCACTATCAAATAATGTATGTGAAAATGGTTCAAGATCTTTTGGAGATGCGTTGCTGGAGTTAGAGGTTTTGCATAAGTTTATTTTGCCTCTTATCTCTCTGACGTCATTGATTTTTATAGTTCATTCAATCTTTTTTCTTATGCCTTTGCCATGAGTTAGATTCGACACTACTGTTGCAATTTGCATGGTTCTGACCTTTAACCAGTTTCATTTTGTTTTGCGTTTCATGAAGCCAAGAGCTCCGCGTGGAATGTTAACATCACTGGATAGCATTGGATCAGAGCCTGCGCAGAAATCTTCTATAAGGCATGTTTCATGTTTTGAAATTTCATTTGCATTTAGTTTTAAATAACAGACTTTGTCTTTATCGTACTGGTTTTTGGTTGCTTTTATATGGTTGTCTTGTAGGTACAGTGTTACGTCAACAGCTTGAAAGAAGTGGAGCTTCATTTGCGAAAGTCCATGCTGGAAACAATGCCAGTCGAGGGATGAAAAGCCAGCTCAACGGGGTAAGTATAATGTTACTTGCTGGCTTTCATTTCTCTATGCTTCTTTTTTTCCAGGAGGCTTGCATATCTAATATTGGGAGTGAGCCTGATACTTGGGTGGAGAGTTCCAGGTAGAATAGTCCTGTGGACTCCTGTACAGTTCAGTTTATGTAAAAATACTAGGGACAGTGCTGGAGAAGATTGATCTTCCTACATCAGTTCGAATTGATCTTTCTTTTCGTTTGGGGGTGGGGGTTTATGGCTTTGCTGGAATTAACGAGTAGAAAGCTATGCTATGTTGGGGCGGGTTATGAGAAAGGTTAGGTGTGCTGGGTTTACTAGAAGGGGGATTCACAGTACATTTGTTCCTTGAAATAGTTTTTGTATACTCGATTACAGTTAATGACACCATTTCAGTCTCTGCGTTTCTTGCTCCGTTTCCTTTCTGTGTTTGTGTCTGTATTTAAATTATATGCCTTGGGATTTGACATCTCCAGGATATATTGAACTGTTGTTGTTAAAATTGCAATAGGGTAATTTAAGTTATCACTTTAAAAGGTTGAGGTACTTAATCTTATAATGTTTTAAACTAGAGATAGAAATCTGAATTTTAAATCATTCTGGATGGAATTGGTATTCAGATGTTCATTCAATCAATCAACTCCCTCAATTTCAAACTAGCCGTCATGGACCCATGGCTATGTGATTTTTTATATCCATTTATTTCTACCTGGACTTGTGTCATTTTGTTACTAACTGCCTCTTATAACAGAAGAAAGATATCTTCGCAATCTTATAACGGATTAGTTGTTTTCACATCAAACGTTTTCTATATCTGATCTTGTCTCGTATAATAGTTTCAATAAAACTTAACCGTAGTCTCAGCGTGTTAATTTTCACACGTAATATTAGAACGAGTTCGTCTCATGCCTTCCTCTTTTCGACTTGTATATCAGGTTAATAGATAGCTACAAGGATTTTTTCATGCTATATACTCTATTTGGCCAAGCTTCGTGAAAGTTGTGTTTGACTAATTAATTTAAAAAATATTTATGAGCATTGACCAAGCTTTTAAAAAATACGTTTAAGTGTATTTTTTTCAAAAGTGCTTTTTAAAAAAGTACTTCTGAATAGAAGCTACTTTTTTGTTAGCTTTTTTAAAACAACTTCTGATTTACTCAAAAATACTTTTTTTTTTCTCTAGAAGCTTGGCCAAACACTTCAACTTTAAAAAATATTTTTTTTTGGGCTTTGGAGAACCTTGGTCAAATAGATTATAAGAGTGTAACATGCTAAAATAGATTGAACTATATTAATAATAAAACATTTCTGCGGTGGTCATAATTATATTTAAGTTATTAAATCTTTTTGAGTAAGAAACATGTTAGCATCAGGTGAGGTATACGACTAAAATTGGAATCAATATATTTAGTGGATGTAACATGCGAATGTTGCTGTTGCTTATGAAAGGTCAACTATATATTGATTCAGTATATTTGTGTGTGGTCAAAATAAAAGGTCCAAGTCGTCCATTGATGATGTGGTAGTTATACCGTTAGCAGGCTCTTTTAATTCTGGATTAAAGTGAAAAGTAGAAGTTTCATAAATCATCATCTTTGGACTCATACTGACTTGTCAAGGTAATTAATTTTGGTTTAAATTAGAAAAGCTCTAAGAAAAAGCTTTCCTTTTTACACAAAATTCAAGGGAGTTTATTTTCAGAAATGGATATTGTTTTTCGAAAAGCAAAATGATCTAAAGCTATGTTTTATAAAGTACGTCAACAAGTAAAACTAACAAACAATTTTTTTTTCAAAATTATTTTAAATGCCATAATTTCTTACAAAACCAAAGTATGATTAGCTCAAAATGTCAAGTGCGTGAGAAGAACATATTGCCCCACAAAAAGAAAGAAAAAAAAGTTCATCCGGTGACATGGACATTATACATAGTACTGCCATTGTTTTGAGTAATAAATAAATAAAGAAAGAAAGGTTGTCTGAACTCACAATTTTATTTAAAATGTGAAAAATATGCCCGGTTAAGCAAAATGTGAGAAATATTAAAACTGGGGTAGGTAGGTGATGCAATATTCCTATGCCTTCAACACAAAAAGATCCACGATCAAATTTTGGTCATACTCTAAAGAACTCAACACTTTAACATAATACAGTAAATAGAGGTCGATCCAGGATTTTAAGTTTATGGGTTCCTACAAAAATCTTGAATTAATATACAATACTAACTGGATGAACGGAATGAGTTCCAAGCTAAATATTCTTGTACATTTAATGCATTTTTCAATACAAATACAGGTTCTAGACAAAAGTTCACGGAAACCGTAGCTATTAAATCGAATCCACCCTTGACAGTAAAACCTCTCTACAACAATCATTGTCTATAACAATATTTTACTATAATGACCAAGTACTCTTTGGAGCCAAATTTTCATGTTATGTCAATATATATATTTTCTAGAATAACACTTCACAACAGCAATAAAAAAATTCTCGTCTTAGTACAGACATAGACTCACCAATTTTATTACAATAAAATTTACAACTTAAAAGGAATAAAGTGTACAATTAAAGTATTTTATAAAATTGCAAGTAGAATTGTACCACAATTCTTATACTTATATATATACGTAATGATGATGTTAGAGTGAAATCCAAATGTCTGAAGAAGGGTGGCTCTGCTGCATCTGTCACTGCCGAATTTCCCTCACTCCCTCACCTTATAAAAAAAGCTTCCCCTTTTCTCTCTTTTAATTAATTAATTAATTAAATTAATTAACTGTATTCAACATCTCTTGATCTGATCCCTATTCCTAACTAACAACAAGCTCACAAATATCCGTAATCTCTAATTCTCCTTTTCCCTCATTTTTCTTTAGTATTAAGGGATGAAGAAGGCGACGGTGGGAGCGGTGGTGGTGGGGGCGGCGGTGACGGTAGCTGTGGCGGCACTCATCGTCCGGCACCGAATGCGGAAATCGAGCAAGTGGGCACGTGCGAGGGCAATCCTGAAAGAATTCGAGGAGAAGTGTGGGACACCAGATGCCAAGCTGAAGCAGGTGGCTGACGCTATGACGGTGGAGATGCACGCCGGCCTTGCCTCTGAGGGCGGCAGCAAACTCAAGATGCTTATCAGCTACGTCGACAATCTCCCCACTGGGTTAGTTACTTGATTTTTTTTTCCTTTTGTATCAATTAGTATCTAACCCGTCCGTCACCAAAAAAAAAAAGAGGGGGAGGGTGGGTGGTGGCTGGATTTGGAGTACGAGGTTAACACATTATATATTAATTCCTTATTTGAAAATAAATTAGAATTTTTGTATTTAGAAATTANGACCAAATTACTTTTTTGGCATTTTACGGTAATTAAGCTGGAATTTCGTCCGTCGTGCATGTATTATCGCCCGCCATGGCCCAAGCCCGACGCCGTGGGACGGAGGTGGAACCGGATAGCCTAATATTTGTCCGCGGCATCAAATACGACCTAAGAAACCATAGTCACCGCCCCGCCATGTTCAAATTAAATTTTTTGGCATTTTACGGTAATTTAAATGGAATTCCGCCAATCGTGCCTGTATTTTTGCCTTCCATGGCCCAAGCCCGACGCCGTGGGCGGAGCTGGAACCGGATCGTCTAATATTCATTCGGGACCTCAAATGCGACTTAAGGAACCATAGTCACCGCCCCGCCATGACCAAATTACATTTTTGGCATTTTACAGTAATTAAACTGGAATTCCGCTCGTCGTCCCTGTATTTTCACCTGCCTTGGCCCAAGCCCGACGCCGTGGGATGCAGCCGAAACCGGATCACCTAATATTTGCCCGCGACATCAAATACG